GGAGAATGAAAAGAACCACTCGCCTTTTATCATCGAAAAGAAAAAAAAGAATATAGCAAAAGCCTTTTTGGAAGACATGCCAGCGTCAGCACTATTTCGCGCAGCAATACTCAAATGAGGCTAAGGAACGAGAACTTTGTAGCAAGAAAAAAGATTGAGATAGTCACATAAAAAATCTCCCTTTAAAACTGAATCAAGTTGAGAGATAAAATCGTGAAATCAAAAAAAAACTGTAACCTACTAATCTGCGTTTTTCCGCAAGTTCATCTTTTGTAAAAGTCCATTCTCTTTTCTGAGTGCTTGTAGAATACATGCAGTTCGCTGGAATCAAATAAAGAATATCACCGTATACGGTAACATGACGAAAGTAAGCAGTAAATGAATGACTTTCCAATAAAGGGTCAATACAGGGAAAAATAGAATAATTTTGAAAGTTTCATTGTAACAAGTATATCAACAGTAACAACAATAACAATTTTGATCTCCCGAAGGGGTGTTGCTAAGAAGCAATCAAACGCACACATCGTGATATTTGGATTCGTAGCTCAGCTACAATTCTTCCCATTCTCCAACCAATAAATGTCTAATATTGAGTCCAATCAGCGCAGCGAGAGCTGCTACCTGAAAGAAAGAAAGTAATCAAAAGCCTCATCGTTGTCTTATGGTACCTGTTCAGCCATTTTTATGTTTGGTTGACCTTTCCGCGACCTGAATTTCCTTCCCATTACTTCTACACTTCCCTCATAACGCTTATCCTCATCTCGACGATGCTAAAAATTAAGTTTGGAAAAGCAAGTGATCAAACTCTCACTCGTAGACCCTAGAACAGTATGCTACCCTAGCGCTATTGCTAGAAAGCAAAAGTTATCTCAAAAAACTCGCTATGGAGGCGCTAACATACTGTAATAAAGCAAGAAAGCCATCTTTTCGAAGAATAAACTTACCGAGGCATAGATTGGGTTTTCAGCTTTCATATCCTTGCAGTACTTGAACAAAACACATTTCGGTGTTGTGCTAGCGTTCTGTGCATCTTTCAGCTTTTTTCTACAAAACCACAAAATAAGAAGGAAATTCACTATCAAAGGAGCAGACCCCAAAGTACACCGTAACCCAAACCCCACCTGCCAACTCATACGCTAAATCCAAAAAATGCGCTTCAAAACTCCACCCATTGACGCCCACTCAATGGAAGTGGGCGGGGCTGGTGGTGTTTTGAAGCGCATTTTTCAGGAC